TCCCTATGACAGAAGCGCCTCTTCGCAAACGGGGTGCGCTCACATTTCGCCCTATGTATCGACAGTAGCCGCCTTATAAGAGCTGCAGAGGATCTACGTTTTATTCCCTGATTGTATATAGCCGCCATACCGATCGTCTCATGGGCGCCGCCATTTTGGCGTTTTTTTTTTTTGGAATCGCGACTTTCTGAGCTTCATATAAGTTGTGAGGAAGCTAAAACGATATCGATTTGCTCTGTGGCGGACTGTCTTAACTTTCCCGAGGGACTGAAAAGCGTTTCCTGCGATTTCAGTCGAAGCTTCGAATAACTTGACAACTGTATGAGTTTAAGCTACAAGGAGATTGAAGCGTCGTTGCTCAGTACCAGTGCTCAGAACCATCTAGCAGACAAGGCTCGCGCAGGGCGTCATCGTTAGCGGATCTCCGACCCGCCCCCAAGCGGCAAACAGGCTGAAGATCGAAGGAAGTTGCCGCAAAGTGGCAGACACGCGTCCGTCTTGGCGTCGCCGCTGCTGGCGTCACTCCACATAGAGATCAGTGCGTCACTCTCGTCGTGAGACCCTGCAAGGCGCGCTGGCGGCGACGCTGACGCAAGCTAGGCGACGCTGCATACGTCCACTGGTGATGACGCTTGGTTGGGGAGGCGTAACTTGTCTGCTGACTATAAACAGGACGAATCGTGACCGAGGATCAAAGTTTCGTCTGGCGGACAGCGAAGAGATCAAAAGGAAGTTCGTCTTTTCGGTTAGGTCAGCGTTTGCATATCCGGCAGCTGAACACCGCTACAGCCGACAAAGGGATGCTTGTGTCGGGCCGGTTTTCGTGCACCGACCTGCCGAGGCCGGTTACGGAAAACCGATGTCGCCCTCGTTTGGATCCTGCGTACCACCCGGAGTTCGCGTATTTGCATACATAACTCCCGATTGAGCGAGCAAAACACGAAGATATATAGTGACTGGTAGACCCGCCGAGGCTAGCTCTACGAGAAGCTAGCCTCGATGCGGGATAGTCTTTGTTTTTCTCGCTACGCAGTTCATTGCATCCGAGTTATTTCTGTGACGGATCAAATGCGATTGAATATCCCTTCGAAGCACCTCGCGATTTAATAATAATAATAATTTAACAAAAAAGGCGAGGATGAACGGAGGCGAGGAAAAATCATGTCCTCCTTCCTTCTTCGTTTAGCTTCGTATAGATTTTATTAAGCTTAAATTTTTTTTTTATTCTGCTCGCGAATTTTGAAAAGGAGAAGACTACATAAGAAGGCTGCTTTATACGAGAGTTACCGTTGTCACTGAGAGAATTATATGCGTTCACCTATGAGTTACGGAAGGTTTACATGAACTCCACTATATATGACCCGTGGTTCAGCTATGGTCCCCGACGGTTTCAGATCCGCAGGTTCACACTTATTGTTTCGTGATTCCCTCTTTGGAATCCTCGTGGGCTGATGCAGTAGTATGCAGAGCGATAACATGATGCCTTGAACTTAAGAAACGCCTTGCGTTTATTAACAACTTATTTTTGGGCAAGCTCTGTTAGGACACCAGTTGGGCCACGAATGTAGAATTTGTTGTGCCAACGTCAGAAAGCGGGAAGTTTTTACCGCTCAAGAGGACTGCCCTATCGTGTTTCCTCTGTGTTGATGAGAAATTTGGCCAGTGCAGTCTGACCGCTAGCCCGAAGTCTTCCACGTGCATCGCGAAGTGGTGATTACGTTTTTATCGGAACACGGCTTAGAGACTGAACCTAGGATGGCTGGGCTCTGCAAATGGAGTTCTCATTCCACACGCTTGGACATATCCTAATCGGATGTCTCATCTAATCCGCTAAGAGTGTGACGGTTGGATCGTCTCCACAAAACAGTCAAGGCAATGCACCCTTAAGGTGGGTTCAGACACCTGCGTTTGACTGCGTTAAGACTGCATGGTTGCGTCGAGCTGTTGCTATGGCGACGCTTACGACGAGCCAATGGGAAGGCGCTGTGCTGCACGACGCAACGCAGCGCGATGCTGTCGACGCAACTGTGGGAACGAGCCTTTAATCTCCTTCCACTTAAATTCCGGTCATAACGAGAACTTGTTTTGCAACTGAAGTTTTGCTTAACCGGGGGAGCCCGTCTTCCGCATACTTCGTAGCTTACGCAGAACTGTGTATATGTAAATGATAATTGTAAACAATAAATGTTAAAACAAATCTTTCTGGGAGTATTATTTAGGGCAGAATAGAGCTTAAGTGGTACAAAGTAAGTGGAACGACATGCAAGTGTAACGACAATCGATGTCGCACCTACGTGTTCCAGATAAAACAGAGTAAAAATTAAGCGAAGAGAATTGGCGTTTCACATATGATCCCGGTCCACATACAAATATGACTTGTTCCAAATAGGATATGCAGAAGGCTAATTTAACTGGAACTTAAGTGGGACGAGATTAAGGGTGTACGTCACCCGGTCTAATAAAAGAATCAGGTAGAAACCACGTGCTATATTGCTACGACGTGCATACATCAGCGCACCCCTCTGATACGGAATGCTCACGTCAGTGTATATTTTATTTTTATTTCTTTTATTTATTTAGTTTCCTTATTAGTTCATTAAATTCCCACGAGGTGCTTTGTGTAAGCTACAGAATAAGCACGCGGCACAAAAGAATAAACGAAACATCAAAGAATAACAATGAAAGTGAAATTACCAGCCAAGAAAAGTGGCAAGTGCTTCCCGAAATTTTGAAATATCTTTTATGGTCACTAACTTACTAATGAGTCCGGTAGATTGTTCCAATTGTTAATATAAAACTGTAAGGGGGAACATTTAAAGCTATTGGACGAGTACGGCACCGAACGAGTGAACTCGTTCGGTGCCGTACTCGGCGGCTGTCGCCGTGCGTGCGGCCTTCCGTACTCGCCGCTAGGCCTAAATTGTCATCGGGGCTCCGTGGTGGAGCGGCGTTGCTCTGCACCGCGCTGGTACAGTACTGGGCGGACGGTGGGCGAAGAGCGACGGCACGGCATCCTTTTTAATCCTCGAGCCTCTCGCTGACAAGCCACAAGCAACCAACACCCGTAGGTTTCGTTCGTAACTCTCCGGCGAAAAATGATCGGAGCAGAGCTTCGACCGTCCAAGGCTTTCCAAAGTCCACTCGTCGAACAGCGTTCACCCACACCTTCTACAATTTTCAGTCCGTTAGAAACTTGTGAAAACGCACCTCCGGGTTGCGCAGCGTGTTGTTTGAGCAGCCCACAGCGCTACAAATTGCACTCGGTATGTTTCGAGGAACAGCTGGGCAGTCTCGGGCGCACTAACTTGCTCGCTAAAACGAGTCTTGTAGTCCTAACAAACAAATAAACAAAAGGCTACACGGAAGCTACACAGGCTACAGATAAAAGCAACGGCTAAACACGCCGATCGCAAGCCGAAGTAGCGGTGGTAGCGGCTCAAAGAAGCACACTTCGCGCAACGCCCGTACCGGAGGAAAAAAAGAGAACGATACTGACGTCACGGCCCAATGTTGCTTTAGCGATCGGCAACCCACTGGGGCGGGGTATTCACACGAGGAAGAAATCCCGGGGATTCCTCCACGGCACGCGCATCCCGCGACGAAAACGTCAGGCTTTGCAATGTGCAAAAGCCTCGCGTTTTCGTCTCGTGATGCGCGCGTGCCGGAGAGAAATCCCCGGGATTTCTCCCTCGCGTGAATACCGGAGCTGCGGTTTGCGGCGGGTCGCATTTTTATTATTGGCATTAGTTAAGAATGCGGCGTCCCCCTGACGTAATATTTTGGCTGGGGTCGTATTTCGTGTCACTACAGCGATACCGGTAATTTATTTCATTTTGAGTTTGGGCCGGAGTTGCCCTTTAACTCTTTTGGGGGGAAAAACCGGAGGCAATAAAACGAAAACGGATTTCTGCTCCAAGTTTGATGAATATTGAAGATTAATTGGGGTCTTCATTTGGAAAATGCTGAAAAATAATTTCATGGTCCCTTTAATTCTTTTAACACGTGTTTGGGTTTTGTGATAAAGACATTCTAATTGGTTCCCAGCGCAGTCTTTTTCTGAGCTGGTTGGCCCTTAGCTTACGAAGCGACGGTAACGAGAGGCCCTCAACTACGGCCGTCCGGACGTCTTTCTTGTTGAGATCTAATAGTTCATATAAAACGTTACATGCAACCAAACGACTAGTTAATCGAACACGTATCTAAACGCTATTTTACAAAAAAAGAAAGAATGAAATCTTGTTGTCCCACATGGTTATTGTTGCTTTACTGAAGCAAGGGTAGAGACAGATGGTTTTCGGCAGTTAGTGCCACCGAAAACACGGGGTTACTTTTACACCAAGAATGACCTCGAGAGGAGGCCATGTGCAGCAAGGTGTCATTGAGAGTTACTAAGCCAGCCTGATAAGGCTGTTGCCTCACACGGCTCGAATAAAAGATTCCAATGAGTTTTGGGTGACTGAAAGTCAGCGTAGTTGGTCTGGGCGCTGCTGCTACAGGTGTTGGTGCACAATTTTCGCGTGCTTTGTCTGCCGGATCACAGGTTCGCTAGGCTTGCACTTGCAAACCAGACCTACGGCCGCTGGATTAGGATGCAGAACTGGCTGTGATGCCTTGGTGTAGTACTTTATTCGGCTAGCCACCCTTAATGTCATGGCTTACTGTACTGTCCTATTAATAGTTATTGCTACCATGGTCATGGACAACTCAAGAAACGCCGGGCGTGGATTAACGATTCCTGCTTTATGATTGGCCTTTGGCGTTTTTATTGGCTGATGTCGCACTCTCATTGGCCGACCAGTGATAATGAGATGCTAAGGATTTGAAACGCCCTGCGTTAAAACGGTTATATGGAGTGAAATACTGCGGCTGCCGTTTCTCTGTGACACGATGTATGGAAGCTCCGGGGATAATAAGTCCTCTTGTTCTTATTCCTATGACGGTCAGCGCCATTTGTGTAGATTTGCTCCTTGAAGTTTGACTATACGGTCGACCTCTCGCAGTGTCTCGGTGCCCAACCCGAGGGCGGAAGCGGCGGCCTGCAGTCCCCGCCGCAGCGTGGGCTTCCTGAAGACCCACAAGTGCGCCAGTTCGTCGGTACAAAACGTGCTGCTGCGCTACGGTGAGCGCCACAACCTCAGCTTCGTGCTTCCGGCCCGCACCAACTACCTGGGACACCCTCGGCGGTTCCAGCACGCCATGGCCCCCGGGAACGGAACCCGCCGCTTCGACGTGCTCGCCCACCACACCCGCTTCGACGAGGCCGAGGTGCGACGCGTCCTGGTCCCGGACGCAGTCCTGGTGACCATCGTGCGCGAACCGGCGTCTCTCTTCGAGTCGCTCTACTCTTACTACGACCTGCGCTCAAAGTCCGGCGTGTCCCTGGACGCCATATCCGCTGGACAGCCTTCTCCCACTCTGCTTCGACGGCTGTCGCGAGGCTCCAAGGGCAAGCTAGGGCTCAACCAGATGAGCTTCGACCTCGGCTTGGACCCCGAATGGTTCGATAACGTTACGGTCGTGAGGGAATTTGTGGAAGACTTGGACGGCGCCTTCGACTTGGTCATGGTGGCCGAGCGGATGTCCGAATCCCTGGTGCTCTTGCGGAACCTTCTGTGCTGGGACGTGGACGACGTCGTGGTGTTTCGGCACAACGCCCGCCAGAACGGGTTCCGCAGGCGGCTGGGGCCTCGCCAGAAGGACAACTTGAGGACGTTGAACGCGGCCGACGCGATCTTATACGACTACTTCGTGCGGAGGTTGGACCAGCGTGTGGCTGCGTTCGGGAGAGAGCGCATGGCGCAGGAACTGCGGCTTCTGGCCCAGCGTACGCGGTTCTGGTACTCCAGGTGCGTGAGGGACGTGCGGCCCGTGCGTCAGGAGCCCAAGCATCGATTCTGGGTCAGCCACAAGGTGGGTATATCTAACTAGAAAGGTCAGGCTTTGGTCAGAATTGTCTCGTACGAATAACGTGGTGAACATTACCCATGGGGCTGGACGGAAGAAGAGAAACAACGAAAGTGAATCTTGTTTCTCTCTTCTTCTTTCGACGCTACTCTTTATTATGTAGTTTTCGTAGATCGTTTCTGCTGTCCCCCAACGTTCTCCGCGACCCGCTACGAGATCCGCGACTCTGCAGGCAAGGCTAGCGCCAAGCATGCGTAGTAGTGACGCCTTCGTTCCGCAGAGTGTAGCGGAGGTGGGAACACGCGGTCTTCGAAAACTCCCTGTTTACTCTGATTACGCGCTGACCGTAGTTTACAACATAAAAAAAAAAAGAAGAAGAAGACAGTCAAGGAGGTCAGTGAGTCGATAGTGAATTGAAAACCAGTGACCTTAATTTAATACTTAAGAATTTCAAAAGAGGACAATCGAAAGAAGGAGGGGGCGAATGTTCCAGAAGGAAGTCTGCGCCCGGGGCTGCAGCAAATTAGCGCCATGAAAATGTAAGGCAAGTTATACGTTTTATCGTATTTGCTCCGTTAATGGACGCGCAATGCTCATTTCGAAATTGAATTTACTTCCCGATAATGAACCCCGTCGGGCAATGACTCACCAGCATGCATTTCCGCTATATTTCCTGCCAGAATTAACCTTACGTGAAACTGCCCGGTACTTTAAGGCAAGAAGTTTAAATAGAAAGTTTTCGTAGACCGCGTTTCACCGTCTGCTAAGCTTTACACAACGAAGAAGCCGCTACTGCGCCTTTGCGCCAATGACATTGACTGTAGAGTTCCGGTTATCGTGGTTGCGGAAAGCGTGGCGGGACGGCGAAAATGGTCTACGAAAACTTCTTAATGTCAATGTTCTCCTTTCATCGCCGCATAAAGTTTGCGGGGTGCATTTTGTTTTGTCCTTTGGACATACCTTTAAGATGTTCGAATAGGACAAAACAAATTCAGAACGTAAATGAACATCACTAGTTCCGCCTATTTTCCCTTTTACCAGCGGACAATGTTATGACGAAGTACACTTTTTGTTTTGCTCTTGGCGACACACTGAATTTTTTTTTTTTTAACAGAAAAGAAATAAAAATTGTGTCGTGTGTTAGTTGTTAGATGTTAGTTAGACCCATTGGGAGTCTGGTATCTTTCTTGTTGACGATAAATTTGGTCAGTGCAGTACCACAGCTAGCCTGGGATGTTTAACGTGCACCTTGCAGACACGACCGGGCGCCGGCACAATGCTCATCCAGGTCTAAACCGACAGGTGAAGGGATCGATCTGCAGGCTCCCTGGGTTCTGCAGCTCAAACTTTCGCTCCACACGCTCCGACCTACAGTGCGTTAACGCATCCCAAGGAGAAAGCAATACGAAACGTAGCTGCGTGACCATCGCTTGTTTCGTTTTAGGACATGACGCAACCGGAATATCTCGGTAGAAAAAGAAACATATATAGGAACTGAATAAATCGTCTTGGGACGTCAATCCGGGCTGATGCACAGTCGTTACTTTGTTCCGCTACATCCGACGGCTCGGACAGGGACGTCGCTTCGCGTCAAGGAAAGCGTTCCTCTGTCGGCGTTAGTTGTCCGGCGATTTTAAACGAGTCGGTAAACATTGCGGTCTTTCTCGCTCCTTCCCGGTTCAACGTCGCCGTCTAGCAAAACACCAAGGTCTCTCTCTCTCTCCCTCTCTTTCACTTTCGCGAAAGGCCGTCTGCGGCACTATAGGAGGAGGTGCGTCATGCTTCGGTGTCTGTAAAGTGCACCGGATGCTGCTGGCTATCCTGCATACCGCTCTTCTGGGGTTGCTGAAGTCACAACAAATCGTGCCCGCCATATTTCCTCCAATACACGTTGTCATCAAGACGCGGCTAAAGAGAAACTACGTTGTCCAATCTGTGCCCCGGTAGCGTTGGCCTTCTTTAGGTAACGGCCGGAAATTCGACACTTTATTCTCTGAAAAAGAGGCTTACGAATTGACTTTCGTGCCGGACACGAGACAGCGAATCATGGCGAATAACACAAGGACCTGAGCGAATAACGGCGCTTGAAGTATAATTACAAAAACAAAAAAGCGTGTGTGCGTTAGCGAGCATGAAGTCTCACTTGCTCGATATGTACCTGGGCGCATCGCAGTTTTCAGTATTACGAGCTTCGTCATTCTCTTAAATCTCTCTATATTTAGCCGTGATTGGCTATCTCAGTATTCTGCAGAAAAGTGGGCTAATAAACTTTGTTTTAGATTGTACGGTTTCATTATCAAGGGAGGGGCTGCCGTGCCTCGCTGCAGAATACCCAGAGAACCAATCCCTCCTTTCAATGGAAGTGTACGAACTGAAAACTGCAGAATAAAGATGTTATTGTCCCTAAAAAAAGCATTCTCGTCTGCTGAGCATCAGTCTCAGTGTAGGACTGAAGTTTCGAAATGTTTTGCTCGTCTTTTGTAGCTTGTCCTTGGTGTCTTCGTCAAGCATAAATGGCCATTTCTAAGGGAGCATTTTGGCATTTCGCGACGAGAACAAATACTGTCTATGGGTTGCTAAATATCTGAAGAAATTTCCCCAAGATGACTCGTTGTGGTGGGTATCATGTTTTCGCGTGCCTTGCAGGAAAGGAGATACACCGGTATTTTTAGTTAATCAGTGATTTTGTTCGTAATAAAGCCAGCTATAACTAGATTACAGTTTTTTTTCAATTTAATAGATTAATGTAAGTTATTTAACCCTGTTACAGTTGTATTTCGTGCTTTCAAGCATTTAATCTTTTAACACTGTTGCGGTTGCATTTCATGCTCAGTCATTTAGTAATCTATACCGACGACAACCTTTTGTGGCCATGCAGCGAAACATATATGGATGCACGTGCACTAGCACACTTTGACCACCTGCCATTGCAGTAAGCACTTCTTGTTCTTTTTCTAATGTCTCTGGGTGTAGCCTTATCGGACGGGACGTGGTGTCGTGACAGTTTTCTGGCAGCTGAGTTAATGATTCATTTTTGCAGATAATCGCAACCCCGCGCGAGTTCTCGGTCTTGACGAGTCTCCTCGACCGTTATGTTTCAGGTGCTGGGCTTCCGAGCAAAACAGGGCAGCTCGTACGAGTGCATTGGACTCGTGACTCCCGAGTTAGCCTTCACCGAGCATCTGCGCCAGAAGCAGCAATTTCTGGACGAACCCGTAGTCAACGGATCATCCACCGCAGCGGGTCCAGAGTCACGATGAGCCACGTGACATGGCACCGTGAAGGCCCCACTTCACCCTAGCACGCTTCACAGTGTATAGGCTGCAAAACCTGCCGGGCTAGTCAGGGCAATCAATCAACTGGCTAGAGTTTTCGCCGCGTCACTCCGCTCCACCAACGCCACTTAGAATAACCAAAGCAGGCGCTCTAAAATTTTGACGTCATTACAGTGAGATGGAGGGCAGACACAGATTGGGCTATAGAAGGGCGCTCAGTGTTGGATTCCAGCCCAATTACTGATTTCGCGCCATCCTAGGCCAATCAATGCGTCGCAGGACACTCAGCGTCAGCCTTGGGCCCAATGGCTGAGTTGGCGTCACTGTAGTGCGATCACGTTACGAAGAGGTTCGCAGGCTATGATTATTCTAGTCGGTGTTGACTCAATCCAGGGATGAAAAGTGAGCCATGACAAAAGTCTTCCGGGTTTGTCTGAGTGCGCGTGTTTCGGGTGCGGTCCATCCCGTGGTAACGTGGTGCATTTTCGAATGGTTGTAGTACAACAGTACTGCTGCAGAAGACGTCACTAGATGTTATATTTGTAGTCATTCGTCGGACAACCAATCGCCTGTCCCGTGCTGTCCCAGTTCACGCGATACCGCCTTCATGAGATCCCTTTTGCCACTGAGGGGACAAGCGAACGCTTCCTAGATAGCAAGGCCTTGGGACTGACTTTCTACGTCGCATAAAGAGGCCAACGAGGGGCACGGATGGGACATGAACGCAGGCGAGAGCGCTCGGCTGGACTCGTGTTCTTTTTGATTGAACACGAGTCTCGGCCGAATGCTGACGCAGCGCTCGTGTCCAGTTTATGTTGGCCTCTTTAGGTCACGGCAGAGACTCAGCACTGCGGCCTTGTCTTTGGACTTGTGGGACAAACGCGTTGAAAGAGCTTTCGTACGCGGCGTGCCCGATACCTTTGACGTCAAGGGCCTCTTAATCTCCTATGAAGTTCTTACGTTCTTACATTTATGATTATGGGGCCTAGCCATTTCTCGTGACAAGCTAATCGCTCGGACATGTCCTTTCTCTAAAGAAAAGCGATTGGAAGCTTGTGATACGCAAACGGAGTCGGCAGACAAAAAGTTGGACCCAAGAGCAAGATGGGACATACAGTCAGCATAGCCGAGTTGAGATGCATTTTTTTATGCGTTAGTGCGACGCACTAAAAGCATTAAGTTCCCAAGTTTGTGTTGGCTGTAGTCTGAACTTCTAGACAAGCTCTTGCTAAGGTTAGCGTTTGTTCACAAAGTTATTCTAAACTGCTTCGGTGATTCCGAAGCAAAATGCCAGTCCTGGGTGGCAGGCTCAAATCCCATGTGGGGTGACTGCAATATTCCCTGGCTGCGGTGCAGGTGTTGTGTAACAAAGACTTCGTTTGTGTGCCAAGGATCCCCATGTGGTTCAAATTAATCACCAGTCCTTCGCTGTTGCGTGCCAGGTGCCCTGAGTTGGTTTGGCGCGTAAGGCTCAACATTTAAAATTAACTCAGGAAACCATAGTGCGTTCAATTTTACAAGTTGGGGCAAACTCTCTTGAATTTGAAAGGCTGCCATAAGTGCTTAGTTACAAAAGAAAATTCACAGGCTCGCACTCGCACCTTTTGCTCCCTTATGCACAGGTGAGAACAAAGTACATAACAAGTCGATTCGGGACTCTTTCACACAAACAAAAGGAGCAAAAAGTTTAAAAGAAATGCTTAAAGTTTTTATGGTTCATGGCAGGGCCGAAGCGGAAGCTCGTCGCGTTGCTTGTCTAGGTTATATACAAAGCACTGACGCACAGCTATGCTAATAAGTGCTTACATCTCATTTGGCAGCTAGTCTGCCTGCCTTCCGCATATATTTTTTTTTCTTTTTTAGATTTTTTTTACTGAAGTATTTTCATACGCTTTGATAGTCTGCCAGGCGATCGCTCGTTTTCAGCGCTGCGATCCCCGGTCAGCCAGCCAGATGGCTAATTAAAGCTGCTCGGTCATTTACGGAGCATCGCGTTCTATTTATTCTCGCCTCTATCCCCGGACATTAAACAACCTCCGCCGTGTCCGACTACAGTGCTTTTGCCTCGCGGCGCTTCACATTCAGCGGGGAAAGCTCCATTTTACCTTTTTACGCCAATTCGCCCGCGAACAATTCGTCGTTGCGTCGGCTTCGTCGCGTATTCTTTATAGGCACTCACACTTCGCCGTAGATTACACGATATACTTTCAGACAGTCGTTGCGTCAGCCGATCCCTGGGTGAAATCAACACTACCTAGACAGAAGGTCCCCGCAAGCACGCGTCGTCACAGTCAGGTCAACCGAGGCGTGAGGTTGGGCGCGAGTGCTGTGTCAGTGTTCGGCTCGGGCTCTTGTCCGATCAGCGCGTCGAAGGTCGGGCTCCGGCCCAGTAGCCGAGTTAGCCAATCCGACTCTAATGGCGTTTCATGGAGAGAAAGGAGGCCATGCGGAGAGCTGCTCATGCAGAGAGCTTATGTTGGGTAAACCCGACCTGTGGTGACATTATGTCACTCAGCAATGAACAATGAACAGTCGCAAAAGTTATCGTTATTTGAAAGTCTTTTTTTTTTTTTGTCGTTCAATTGATTTACCGCAGCCGACATTATACGACTCGACAGAGCCAGTCAGGCAGCGCCAAAAGTGCTTCGTCACGTCGCTCATCATCTTTGTGCGTTTTGTATGGCTATACAAAAGGTATAGTCATTAACATCCATGGATGTTAATGGCTATACCATTTGTAACGGGCGGTGGCTTGCGCGAGCTATACTTCGTTTCAGCTTCGGTCCGAGCGCGGCCGATGTTATGAGCCGAAGGGCCGATCAAACTGCGAACGAGGCACAACGTCATGGCGTGCTCTCTGCAGTTGATAGGACCAGCCGGTATTCGCCGTCTCTCTGTGCGTGCTCCTCCGGCGGCTAGTCTTATCAAGCGCAGAGAGCACGCCATGACGCTGCACTTTTTGTGGTGTTTGATTGGTTCTTAGGCTCATAACATCGGCCGCGCTCGGACCGAAGCTGAAACGAAGTATAGTCGCGTTCCTGCGCTTTTTTTTTTTTTTTTCTTTCTGCGCGTGATTGGTTTAGCGGGCGGTGGCAAACCCACGAAGACAACGAGCGCCATGACGATGCACTTTTGGCGACGCTTGATTGGCTCAGTCGGACCACAGCGTTGACTGCGGTCGGACTTAAAGTGAAACGAAGTATACACCAACACAGTGTTTACAAACCAGCCCGGTTTGTCCGCTGAAACCAAATACGCGAAGAGTGAAGCGTCTGCTCATGCGCAGTATCATAGCCTCCTCTATACTGACAAAGCCTGGCAGATCACCACGGGAAGCGATCACCGAAATCGAAAGGTGGAGCGGCAGACAACGGATGAGAAGAGAGCCACGTGACTGGCGCCCCGTTGCGATGAAACGCCGAAACACACTTCTCCCGAGCGAACAAGTGGGTTTCGGGTCCTCGCAGCTGGAAAAGCTGTGCTCTGACGTCCAGGTTCCCAGAGAAATGACTCCTTGATGCTCTCTGCTACCAGATCCTCGCGCTCCACATCTGCGACGGGGCAGTCTATGGATCCGTCGTCGAACTGCCAGGCTTTGTGAGTATAGAGGAGGCTATAGCAGTACCGGCAGCAGCGCCACCGCAGTCGCGTAACGTCAGTGAGTTGAGTTGGTCTATAACGTACTATTATCGACGACAGGACAAATATTTCCTGCTCTTTTTTTTTTTTAATGAAATTTCTTGAACAGTTTGCCTCGAATCGCTTGAACCTGCCAATGAGACTAGTCAAATTAGCCATGCATTTCGTCCCGGGTCCTTCCCAGCATGGGGAAGTTCACTCGAGCCCGAGCGTGCACAGGAACGCTGCTCTTCTTATGGTCCACTGGTTGGGAAAGGCGGACCGAACGCTCGGGACATCCGATCCGAGGTGTCAGGACAATCTACTCTACTACTACTGTATACGATCTGCTCGCTCAGTCGTTCTCTAGCCGAATTCTGGTCAGGCACTCCTCGCTCGCCAGCCCCGTTGCTTGCGTGCTTGTTTTAGAAAAAGCAAGCTCGGCGTTTATCGCTAAATGTGTCTTCCGCAGGTCAGTCCGCTTCGTTGCACTTTTTTTTATTTTTATTATGGTCTGACTCCGGTGTGTTATCCTTCGCAAAGAGGTCTATTTGTAGGGAGACCACGATCCTGTTTCGGTTCGCTGAACCGCGACGTCGAGTGGTCCGTGACTCGAGCAGCCTGCCTCGCACGCATCTCGCATTCGACTCTCTCACGCGATGAGCAGTGACTATATGTATACCGGGTGTGGAGTAAGAAAAACCCCCCAAAAAACGGGTTTTCGTCACCGCAAAAATAAACTACGCGTCGCCGAGCGCTCAGTGTCGGTTCAAATGAAGCTTCTAGCGGTCGGGATCCCACATGGCAAACTTTCAGAACTTATCTGGTTCAAAAGTTATGGGCCATCTTTTGGAAATTTTCAGTAAGAAAACGAAACCCGTTCCCGGTGGCGGACACCATTCACCTCCATGTGCTGGCGTACTTCGTTGGCTGGCATTTTCTCGTTGAAATTGTTTGAAAATTGTTTTGAACTTTTGAATCGTATGACGGTAAGCTCTGGATCTCTGTCATTTTTTCCCAATTGCTAGAAGCGATATTTAGGCGGAGACAAACTGTTCGGCAGTGCGTGGATTACTTTTTGCGGTTAGAAAAACACTGTCCTTTTTTTGCCAAACACAATATACAAAAGTTATCCTGCCGAAAGCAACCGGAAAGTGTAAGAGATGATGATGTCACGTATCAAGTTTCACCCGTCCAGTACAATGGCCGCCAACAGCTGTAGCAGTATCCACGAGCCAACTGTCACTGGAGTGTCGCTGGAATTTAGCAAGCACGAAGACACATGTAGGATAACTTGAAGGAGTTATAGAAACCAAAAGGACTCAGCTCTCCGTCTGTGTGTGCACGTGTGAGCGCAAAACCCATCCTTTTCACGACATCCGCGTTCTTCGTGAGCACGCGCCTATATATCCAGTACACAAGGCGCTGCCGCCGTAGAGATTCTTCATTAGAATGTCGTCCAATGCACAGTAAGGAAACTAGTGTTAAGAAACCTCCGGGTGCTCACAGAACGTAGCTAGCATATCACTTTTTTAGTCGCACGATAGTACATCCTTTTGGTATGCGCTAGAGTTGGTATAGTCACAGAAATGGTAATAACGGCAGGGAGATCTTTCAGTTGTCCCGCCTCCAGCGCGATCTTCCTTCGATAACACTTCGGCGTTTTGTGAACCTCGAGCGTGCAGGCGCAGCCAAAGCACGGTGGAAGGCAAGGAGCGCAAGCTGGAGGCCGGGCATTCAAATAAGACGGCCTCGCGTTCTCACCTTGTCAGTAGCTTACAAGACCATATTTGAAAGTACGACGTAGCTCACACAGGTGTAGCGCCTAGCCGGCGTCACTGCGCCCTTCGCGGTTGCATCCTCCTAGAACTCTTTTTGAGTATAGTAGGTGACTTTCTTTGGCAGTCTCCGAAACACACAACACTGCCGTGCCAAAAGGGCAACATTGGAAGCATTTATTTGTCAGATTCAGAGGGGAAGCGAATTGGCTTAGAAGGGTCATACTTTTGTTTCTTAGTTTTTATTCTATAGATGGCGCAAGCTATCGGCTGTTATAAAATTACTGCAACCGTTAGCATCCATCTATCAGAAGAAGGCACAAGGCGGCATATGCGTGCCTCTTGTTAATGACGCATATAAGGTTTAGTTCTCCGCTGCCGGCGTTAAATGGTATTTTTTGTTGCAAATTCGATTCTGCGGAGCAGGCGAATTACAAAGCGAAAAATTCTGACGGCTGTAAAACCTTACACTTGTAATGCAATTCTTGCTGAATGATCAAACTGTGTATTAAGACGTTCACTCGTACAGTCGGCGCTGGAAATATCGCTGATCTTAGCGCTGATACAGTGCTGACTTTGCGCTTTTATCAGTGCACATCACTGACATGGCTTTACATGACTGCTAGTTATGTTCAAGACAGCGCTGCTTCGTTCTAGACAGCGTTGCAGTTATGCTCAAGACAGCGCTGCAATGTTGTAGACAGCGCTGCTGCATCGGCGCTGTCTTGGTATAGTGTTGATTTACCGGTGAGATAGCGCTGCGTTGTATGTGTGAACTAAAGTGTGAACCATGCCTCAAAAGTCTACGATATGTTTTTGCTGCGTGAGCTTCATCTGTTCAGAAAGCTCAGCAGACCATGCAGCCACGACTCCTCTGCTGGGAGCATGCCAGAAAGGAAAGACCGGAAGCCTATGTGTGCCTCTGGAGGTTTTCCTCGTTTGCTTTTGGCGGTTAGCTTTATTCCTCCCGTTTGTCTGTCTTACTAATTGCACGAGGCAGATCCCCGCCGCCACTCTTGATTGCTGCTCCGAAGCGACCCTTTCATTTCCCAAGAGTTCTCTGGCCGGTGTTGGCGTCAAGCGATGTAATTGATGACAACGTACGCGACCTTCGCGCAGTTGTGTTATTATTATGTTTTTTTCGCTGCTTGCTAATTATGCAGTGCTAGTATCTAGGTAGCTGCTTGAACAACGCCGGGCCATGCTCGTTGTGGCTTTAAAGGAAGATTGTACCATGTCCCATGATGGCGTGCGGATCTTTGACAACTGTAAGGTGAAAATTTCTCGCGCAAATGATTCGTGGTGACAAGACGAGGGTTGACCGGAAACTGCTTTCATAGTAATACGTCAGCAATATCAATGCCCGCGTCGATATTGCGTGCAAGGACCGTAACAGAATTTATAACTTCGCTCGCACCCTGCAACGCACAACCCGCGGTAGAAAATGGTCCGCATTCCCCCTCGACAATTGGGCTTTCTTGAAAAACGGACATAGAGCCACATCTGACGTGCGGCTCCAGAATATTGTTTTTAAATGTAAATGTCCAGGGGATTTTTTTTCATATCTGCTCTAGAAATTATGGCGGAGAAAAGGATTAAAAAAAACTGACAGCTTTAGTTATTTTAGTTGACATAATTATATCATGCTTTTAATGCCGCTTATCTGGGACGACGTCACAGTAATTGTTTAAGTGCTGTGGTTGTGACAGCTGTTTCTAGCCACGATTTTTTTGTGATCAAATTTAAATTTATACACAAAATGTGGTTATTTTTAGTTCTTGTTGGAGAAATAGGGCGTATTTATGGGTGCACAACAGTAATTCAATAGGCAATGCAAAAAATATAGGTAAGTATATATTTCGCACTGATAGAAAGTGCTGGCGAGACTTAATTGTTATTTAAAGAACGGAATAAACGGCCCTCTTGAAGGTTTGGGTAGCATGTTTGCGGGGAGTCGTTAGCAAAATAATTTCCGTTTGTACAGATATCTGTCCATCAATGGCAAATTAAAAGACAAGTTTTTTTTTTTTTCATTTATGCGACTCTGAAAACAACTTGAAAAGAAAAACTAAGACAGCACTTTGGACTTTATAAAGCATTTGTCAGTGTTTCAGTGCTCATAACTGAATAGGGGGCGCTGTAGCACGTCGAAGTGGCAACACATGTCGAATCATTTTATTTGTCCATTTTTGTCAGGTACTCCGGGCAATAATGAAAGAATGTACAAACTGATGGGGGAATTTCAAGTGTAAAGAGTATGATAAGAACAAATTTCCTTTTATACGAAACGTTGTTTTCGAAGGTAATAAAGTTTGGCATGCAAACATCGCCTGTCCCTTCAGTATCATTTCTGCTATAGTGCGTACTATTGTGCCATAAGGACCACAATAGTATATATTATGCCATATGAATGACGTCGTGACGTCATTCGGCCGCCTTGTCGGACGCTTTTTGTGGGCTGGACCTCTACATGGCTTGCGATGTCACATCAGCGTGCTGGTGTCGGTCATTTCCCCTTGTTCTTCCAGAAAAAAAAAATAATGAAGGTACATATACTCAGTGAGCAGATAGGTTACAATAACGACTTTTGATGTGACGTAAATGCAGGGTTTGTATTGTACACTGAGGAACTACATTGTTGATGGCGCCGAAGAGAGCGGGACAAAAGATCGCTTTCTGTACAATCTTTGTTGCGCAGCGCAATCAGCAATATGGATACTCCTAAAAATTCTACAACATGCTAACTCAGCGTGAGTTTGTGTCTCCTTCAGGGCTACATTCGTGTGGTATGGATACCTTTATATTTATTTTCTGTGAAATGATGGTGCCACGTCAGGCACGCAGCCAGGATTTTGGTTCGGGGGGGGGGGGGGGGGGGGGGGGGGGCGCCCATGACAAAATGCTGTATCAGGGGGAGGGGGAGAGGAGGTTTTAGCAAAATGTTGTTCGAGGTCCGAATGTTCTACGCGTCGAACTTTCTATGCCGATTATTCCAGAAGCCCACGCATGTACATAAGGGGCTTCACGTGGCGAGCCACAGTCAGTTTCGCCCCAGCGTTCGACTCTGCTCTTTCGCCGACTTCGACGCCCGCGACGCTCTGCTGTTATCTTTTGGTTCCTTTTTATGTTTGGGCACAAGTTCGCCCTATTAAACGTTTAGCTCCTTCAGTTATTCGTCGCCTCATCACTTGTCCTTCGTGACAATATAAAAACAACAACAGAGACTTCTGGTACGCTTCTTTTTCTTAATAAAAAACACGGGATAGGAATTTTATAATCTCCTTCTCTTGTTCTCTAAAAGTAGCAAAAAGGCTGAGAAAGACGGAGAAAAGAAAATAGAGGAAACACCTGGTCAAATTTCTTAGGCTCTTACTGTCTTTTCTTGTTTGCTTCTGATTATAACAAGGAAAAAGGAAAATGAAGGCGATAAACAAAGAGTCAGGTACAAACAAATGAAATGCAAGGCAGACAACGCACGCTATGTCAGTTATGGCGATGATTATAAAACGAATAAAAGAAAAAGTGAAAGCCGTTTACAACTCCCTGTAACGCCGAATTGGAGCGCAGCTCTTGAGGAGGAGGAGGGAAGGGTGCTGAGGGGAGGGTAGACCCCTCTTCCTCCTCCTCCTCCTCCCCTGATTCTTTAATATGCTCCGGGGGGTCACCTGACCTCGGGTGGAGGGGGTCACGTGACCTCGGGGGGGGGGGGGGGGTCACGTGACCTCGGGGAGGGGGGCCACGTGACCTGGGGGGCCACGTGATCTCGCGGGTCACGTGACCTTGGGAGGTCACGTGACCGGGGAAGTCACGTGACTCGGGGGTCACGTGACCTGGGGGCCACGTAATCTCGGGGTCACGTGGCCTGGGGGGTCACGTGACCTGGGGGCCACGTGATCTCGGGGGTCACGTGACCTCGGGGGGTCACGTGACCTTGGGGGTCACGTGTCTCTCTCAAGGTCACGTGACCTTGGGGTGACCTTGGTTACGCCGACGCCGCTCAAGCCGGTAACGGGCCCCTAAGAGCTGCGCTCTAAAATATCAAATCAGAGTATTGTCAACAATCTATGTCGTCAAGAAATGGAAAAAAAGAAGAGCCTCGAGCGCTGCGCGATGTTGCTTGCCGGGCCAAAGTTCGCGAAGTTATGAAGGATGGCCTATACTGTCCAGAACATCCATGAAATGTTTGTTCGCTCTACGCCCATTTTCATATGCTGGACATGTTAGTAAATAGTGCTCGATGGTTTCCCGCTCACCCCATTTCTCACAATGCGGAGTAGCTAATGAGAAAACTTCACTATTTTGACAGCGCCCGTTGGAGGATTAGTTATGGGGCCCTCATAGTGCCCAGTGTGATATGCCCAGTCTTGAGAGACGGCAGAGGTTTTAGCGACCCCTAATAGCAATAGGCCACAGGGACAGTGAGTCGTTCAGATGGTTGACAATTTTGTTTTTTTTTGTTTGTAAACGTCTTTATTGGGCCTTTTCGAGGCTGCTCTTGTCCTACGGCATCAGCAGCGGCGGGGGAGAGACACGGGGGATTTCTTTCCTTGGCGGGCCGTGTAGAAGCAGGGCTCCAGGCCCTCCGTCTGCGTGGACGAAGAGGCAGAGGTGCTTCCGCAGGAGTTGAACAGTCCCGAGCGACGTGTCCTGAGGTAGAATCCAGTCGATGTAGCTGGTGGGTCGGTGTTCTGCCGGTAACTCCGACAGAATGAGTTCCCGGGCTGTGCCATAGGTTGGGCACTCCCAGACCAGGTGCGAGGTGGTCGCCGGCACTGCGCAGGCTCGGCACTTGCCTTTGTTGGGATCATCGCCGAACATCTTGTGCCTGAGGGCCGGCGTGAGGGCGGTGTAGGTGATAATCCGCCTTATGGTGGCCTGTGCCTTGCGGTTGAGGTCTGGAGGCATCGGTGGGATCTCTCGGTTGTGACGGTTCGCGGCGGCGGCGTCTTGTCTCAGTCGGAGGAGGATGGCTTTACGTTCCTTCTTGGCAATTGCCGCTAATTCCGCGGAGTCTGGTAGGTCATCCGGCGGGCCAGTTTCACTCGGCGCTGGGGCGTGTCTGGGCTCTTTTGTGTTGTTGGTTGCGTCTGACACGGTTGATCTGCGCAGTGCTGCTCGTGCCTCGCTGTGAGCCCATTCGTTCGCCCGGATACCCGCGTGTGCCGGGACCCAGTCGACTCGTAGTGTGACGTTCCTGTCATGCAGTAGGCGTTTCGCGACGTCTTGAATATTTCGCACCCGTTCGCTCTGACTCTTGATTGCGTTACGGCACTCCAAATATGCCTCCCTAGAGTCTGTGTAGATAGTGATGTCCGTCACCTTTGTTCCGACGGAGTGACGTTCCTCTGCGTGTATCGCTGCTCGTAGAATGGCTTCAAGTTCGGCCCCCTTCACGCCCACACCCGAAGGCAGCGCGCACGCATCCACTTCGAGGGTGGTGGTGTCAACCCAGGCTATTGATGTTCGGAGAGGGCTTCCGGTTTTTTCCGGTGACGGCTGTTCTGCGGCCGCGTCGGTGCAGATGCAGACGTGTTTCTTTCCATCTCTGTTTTCGACAAGCTTCTCGTGCGCTGCCGCGAAACGGGATCTTCTCTCGGGATGATCAGGGCCCATGTGACTTGGGAGCGGTGCATCGTCTGTGATATTGATTTGTCGTTCCCATGGCGGCTCTTGCACCGGGGAGATCGGCGGTGTTGGTTGCGGGAGGTCTCCCAGCTCTGCGAGAATCCTCTGCCCAGCACGTGTGCTCAGAAGCCGAGTTCTCTGTGCAAACAAGAGTTGCTCGGCCACGTCGGCCAGCCTGTTCAGCCTGCCGTGGGCATAGAGGTCCGCAGTCCAGGTGTACTTTGGAAGGCCCGTTACGATTCGTATCGCTTCGCGGTTTAACTTTTCCAGCTCCTCCCGTTGTTTTGTAGTGACGTGATGGTAGTTGTAACCGTAGAAGATTCTTGATGAGAAGAGAGACTGGACGAGCTGCCGAGTTTCTTTCTCGCCGGTGCCCCATCTTCTGCTGGTCACTCGGCGATTGAGGTGCAGGATCTGCCGACTTTGCTTTTTCACGCGGGCCATCCACGTGCCGGCTTTGCCGTCTTGGTCGATAAAGAGACCCAATACACGGACCGTCGAGCTCCGCTTGATGGGCTTCCCGGCCAGGTCCAAAGTGTAGAGGTTTCTGGTCTTCTCAGCTTCTCGCTGCGGGCCGGAGAGAACGACGACAAATTCCGTTTTCTCTGGGGAGGCGGTCATGCCTACCTCCTCCAAAAATCTTTGGATCTCGTCGAGTCCTCGCTGAAGCGTATATTCTTGCTCCCCCACGGAGCCGGCCACTGACCAGAGGGCAATGTCGTCCGAATATAAGGCGAAACGAAGCTGTGGGATCTTTAACAGGCGCGGGGGCAGTCGTGCCATGACCATATTAAACATAGTCGGCGACAAGACCGCCCCCTGCGGGACGCTGACGTGGTTGGCAGTTTCGGGACCTGTCTTGTCTCCGATCTTGACTTTAAACCGTCTATCACGAAGAAAGCCGCGGGTGAAGTTGAGCGCTCGCTCGCCTACGCTCGCCTACGCCCGCTAGGCCCGCGCTCTGTACGGTGGCTCACAAGAGCCAGAGTACAGAGCGCTGACAAGAACCACCGGAAGCTTCTCTCCCATCCTCATTACTGCCAGCCACTGTTCACCCGCGAGTATCAAGTAGTCCACCACCAAGGCGCATGCCGTGCTGACGTCTCATAGCTCGTCACGGCCACTGCTTCTCCTGGTAGATCCACGAAGACACTTTGCGGCAGCTGTGCATGGGCGCAGCCATAACCGTTTTAGTTCCTCTTGTTCCTCGGTCACGTCACTTCATCGATCAGGTCAGGGTGTTGCCTTTTTAGACACCGCAGTGTGCTTATTTCCAACTCAGGCTTATGCACATGCTCATCAACGCCCCACTACACTGCCTGAACATCTCGGCAAAACATGAGAAGGTCAGCGCCGGCAGCCTAAATCTTTCGCGTGTATCAAACAGTATTGCCCTTGATGGTTTAGGCCTTCTGTGGCGATCGTAGGTTCAAAATTGATAACGTTTCGGGACCTGGCAGGTAGTTCTTTAGTCCAGTTAAAAACATCCCCGTTTTCTTTCAAGTCTGAAAACAAAAATACGACAGAAAAAGATATCTACTTAATAAAAGTTTTGCATAATAGTTTGATACAATAGAATTAAAAAAGGCAGTACACCTTATTATAAATGTAGTTATCCTAGTTATCTTAGTGGGCATTCACTAGACGCCATATTTGAGGGCGCTGTTTAGAGCGCATGCTCAGAACGAGCTCACGCTACAATA